TTCCAACATTTGGTATCAGAGCTGAAGGTTCTGAGAGAGTGTGAGTATCAGATAAACACGAGGGTGAGTTTATCATAGAGAGATCAGCATGACGGCTCTGGTGAAAGAAAAGTTCGTCCAACCTGCTATTCCCAAATTYGATGGTCACTATGACTATTGGGCCATGACGATGGAGAAYTTTTTGAGAAGTGAGAGGCTGTGGAGTCTGATTGAGGAAGGGATTCCTACCTCTCCGGTTGGAACAGCCCAAGGAAGTGAAGCACAGAGAAAGAATGTGGAGGAGGTTAGGATCAAAGATATGAAGGTGAAGAATTTTCTGTTTCAAGCAATTAGCAGAGAAATTCTGGAGACGATTCTTGACAAAGGAACGTCAAAGGCTATTTGGGAATCAATGAAGCAGAAGTATCAGGGGTCTACCAAAGTAAGAAGGGCACAACTACAAGCATTGAGAAGGGAGTTTGAGTTGCTGTCCATGAAAGAAGATGAACGAGTAGACAGTTTTTTGGGGCGAACTTTGGCTGTGGTGAACAAGATGAAGTCGAATGGGGAGACAATGGAGCAAAGCACAGTTGTTAGTAAGATACTCCGTTCTTTGACGCCAAAATTTAATTACGTTGTGTGTTCAATTGAAGAGTCAAATGATCTGAGTATCTTGAGTATTGATGAGTTGCATGGCAGTCTCCTTGTTCATGAGCAAAGAATGCAAGGTAGTCTTGAAGAGGAACATGTTTTGAAAGTAGCCCAGGAGGACAGATCTGGACGAGGAAGGGGACGAGGTATAATGAGAGGGGGACGTGGAAGAGGACGAGGCCGGCAATCATTCAACAAAGCAATGATTGAGTGTTACAAATGCCATAAGTTGGGACACTTTCAGTATGAGTGTCCTGAGTGGGAAAAGAAGGCGAACTATGTCGAGTCGGGGGAGGAGGCACAAGAAGATCTACTGTTGATGACTTGCACCGAACTACATCAAGCACAACAGGAAGAGGTATGGTTTCTGGATTCGGGCTGTAGTAATCATATGACTGGTAACAAGACTTGGTTCTCAACTCTAGATGAAGAATTTAGCCGGACAGTAAGACTTGGGAACGATATGAAGATGTCTGTGGTAGCTAAAGGAAATGTAAGGGTGAAAATTGGTGACATAACACACGTTTTTTCTGATGTTTATTACATCCCAGAGTTGAAAAACAATCTGCTGAGTATAGGACAGCTACAAGAAAAGGGGTTAGCCATCTTCATTCAACATGGAACTTGCAAGGTTTTTCATCCTACAAGGGGAGTAATTATGCTAAGCAACATGAGTAGAAACAGAATGTTCTACTTATCAGTCACTGCACCACAAAACCACGTGTGTTTTCAAGCTGAAGGTGTGTCAGAAAAGGAAGCACAACTATGGCATTGTCGATTCGGCCACTTGAACTACAAAAGTTTAAGAACACTCTTCGACAAGAAAATGGTATCTGGCTTACCATCGATTAAATCCCCAAAGAAATTATGTACTACTTGTTTGACTGGGAAACAACATAAGCGACCTGTCCCTAAGAAGAGTTCATGGAGGGCGTCAAAACAGCTTGAGCTGGTGCATTCAGACATATGCGGTCCTATTGATCCAGCCTCAAACAGCAACAAAAGGTACATTTTAAGTTTCATTGACGATTTTTCACGCAAGACATGGGTTTATTTCTTAACTGAGAAATCAGAAGCACTTGTAATTTTCAAGAATTATAAGGCTTTTGTTGAAAAAGAAGTGGGCATGGGCATAATCTGCTTAAGAACCGATAGGGGTGGTGAATTCAATTCAAATGAATTTACAGAATTCTGTAAGAAACAAGGTATTAGGAGACAACTAACAACAGCCTATACCCCCCAACAAAATGGGGTGGCCGAAAGAAAAAATAGAACAATTATGAATGCTGTCCGTTCAGTACTAAACGAAAAATGTGTTCCTAAAACATTTTGGCCCGAGGTTGTAAAATGGTGTGTGCACGTTCAGAATCGAAGTCCTACAGCAGCTGTTGAAAACAGAACTCCAGAAGAGGCCTGGAGTGGAAAGAAACCATGGGCAGATCATTTTCGAGTGTTTGGATGTGTAGCCCATGTACACATACCAGACCAAAAGAGGAGCAAGTTAGATGACAAGAGCAGAAAGTGTATTTTGTTGGGGGTTAGTGATGAATCCAAAGGTTGGAGGCTGTATGATCCAGACTCGAAGAAGGTTCTTAACAGTAAAGATGTGGTTTTTGATGAAGAGGCCAGTTGGGATTGGGGTGCAGCAACATCAGCAACTCAACAAACACCGTTAGAATGGGCAGATGACGTATTTGAAGAGGAAGATCAAAGTGATTCGAGCAGCATTGATGAAGAAAGTGATGAATCAGCTCCCAACAATGCAATCTCTAGTGCTACCAGCACACCTGCAACTCAATCACTTGGAGAATCATCTCAAGGGAGGGGCACACGAAGAGACAGAAGAGCACCAGTTTGGATGGCTGATTTTGACACTGGTGAAGCACTTGATGAAGAAGAAAACTTAAATGTGATGATGGTTGCTGAAAGTGATCCAGTAACTTATGAAGAGGCTGTTAAAAATAAGAAGTGGAAGGAAGCAATGTTAGCAGAAATTGAAGCCATCGAAAAAAATCAAACTTGGGAGCTTACTGGTCTGCCTAAAGGAATTAAACCCATTGGAGTTAAGTGGGTGTTCAAAACCAAACTCAATGAAAATGGGGAGATAGAAAAGTTCAAAGCAAGACTTGTGGCAAAGGGTTATGCCCAACGTTATGGAATTGATTATACTGAAGTCTTTGCTCCAGTAGCAAGACTTGACACCATTCGACTGATACTTGCAACAGCTGCTCGGTTTGGTTGGACAGTCTTTCAACTTGATGTGAAAAGTGCTTTCCTTCATGGAAAGCTGAAGGAGCAGGTGTTTGTACAACAACCCGAAGGCTTCATCAAGAAAGGAGAGGAAGAAAAGGTTTATAGGTTGAAGAAGGCACTCTATGGTCTTAAACAGGCCCCGAGGGCCTGGTACAGCAGAATTGATGCCTATTTTGTACGAGAAGGTTTTGAAAGATGTCCAAGTGAACATACTTTATTCACAAAGTCAAAAGAAGGTAAGCTTTTAATTGTGAGTTTGTATGTTGATGACCTGATATTTACCGGAAATGATAGGATTTTGTGTGAAGAGTTTAAGAATTCCATGATGATGGAGTTCGAAATGACTGACCTTGGGAAGATGAGACACTTTCTTGGTATTGAGGTAAGACAAAGTTCAGAAGGAATCTTCATTGGACAGAGAAGGTATGCTCTAGAAGTATTAGCAAGATTTGGTATGGACAATAGCAATGCAGTGAAGAATCCTATAGTACCAGGCTCAAAGCTTTCGAAAGATATGGGTGGTGAAAAAATTGATGAAACTCCTTTCAAACAAATAGTTGGGAGTCTGATGTATTTAACTGCAACCAGGCCAGATCTGATGTATGGAGTTAGTTTGATAAGTAGGTTCATGTCCAGTCCTACTATGATGCATTGGCTCGCAGCAAAACGAATTCTGAGATATTTAAAAGGAACARCAAATCTGGGAGTTTTCTATAGAAGAGGAATTGGCACTAAACTTACAGGATTCACAGATAGCGATTATGCCAGTGATATTGATGATCGGAAAAGTACTTCCGGTTTTGTGTTTATGCTGGGAAATGGGGCTGTTTCGTGGTCTTCAAAAAAACAACCGGTAGTTGCTTTGTCCACCACGGAGGCGGAATATATAGCAGCAGCCCTTTGTGCCTGTCAAAGTATTTGGCTCAAGAGGGTTCTGGAGAAGCTAGGAGTTGAAGATGAAGAAGRAACTATTATTATGTGTGATAACAGTTCCACCATACAGCTATCAAAGAACCCGGTGTTTCACGGTAAAAGCAAGCATATTGATGTAAGGTTCCATTTTCTAAGGGAACTAGTATCTGATAAAGTTGTTGAGCTAMGATACTGCAGCACTCATGATCAGCTTGCAGATATGATGACAAAACCATTGAAGCTGGAGCAGTTTGAAAAACTTCGAAGTATGCTTGGAGTAACTGAGATCACAGAAGTAAGCTAAATGCAGGCTGTGCTTTAGCTTAAGGGAGGGAATGTTAGAATAAATTAGCAGTTATCTTTACTTGTTTTGAATTAGTCTTTTTGGTTGTTGCTGTTAGTCAATAAGTCCTATTCTTTAGGAAGAATGGAGTTTGTTTTGCTTTTTCTGTTTTGTACGTGGCTATTTATAGCCCTCTGTTTCTAGTAATCTAATTGCATTCCTTCAGCACTTTTCTTTGTTCTCTGACTTCCAACAATTAATTATACTAATTTTCTCTACAGTTATGTCATATGTGATGTCTATGGTGATAAGTTTTTGTGAAAGGTTATTTAATCATGGTCGCTGTAACTTTATCTAGGCACTGAATTTCTTGAATTTGCTAAGCTAGCCGTAAAAAGGCTGTAGACTATACAAGGTGTATGCTTGCCCGATGCTTCTCTTTGCAAGATTGATCGTGTTAAAAAGAACTGCACTCACGCTCTCCGACCGCACTGCATTTAGAACCCTAAAAACTGCCGCCGGCAACCACCTGAGTAATGTCGGGGTTGGAGGAGGAGGCAGAGATGGAACAAATGATGATTATTTTGCCACAGTTCATCATATTTCCAATATCGTTCGTCGTGATATCTACCTGGAGAGAACCCTGAATAAGATGTGCATTTCGCGCATTGTCAATTCAGAGCTTGTTTACCGTGTGCTCCGTAGCTGTTGCAATTCAGGTATAGAGTCTTTCCGTTTTTTCAATTGGGTTCGTACTCAACATCCCCAGTATGAACCCACAACTGTCGAATTTGAAGAGCTCCTCATGATCTTAGCCCGGACTCGCCACTGGGAAACCATGTGGAAGGTTGCCCACCAGATGAAAACCCAAAAGCTCCCAATTTCGACATCTGTTGTTTCTTTCATCATCGAGCATTATGGTAAGAACGGTCTTATCGATCAAGCTGTTGAGCTATTTAATAGGTGCAAGAATTTTAATTGCTCCCAAACTACTGAAATATACAATTCCTTGCTCTTTGCCCTTTGTGAGGTCAAGAATTTTCAGGGAGCTTATGCTTTGGTTCGAAGAATGGTTCGTAAAGGAGTACTTCCAGATAAGAAGACTTACTCAGTTTTAGTTAATGGGTGGTGCTCTGCTGGGAAGATGAAAGAGGCCCAAAGTTTTTTGGAAGAGATGAGTCTAAAGGGATTCAATCCACCTGTTCGTGGGCGAGATCTTTTGATTGATGGGTTGTTGAATGCTGGTTATCTTGAATCAGCCAAAGGGTTGGTTAGAAAAATGACTAAAGAGGGATTTGTGCCTGATGTGAGTACGTTTAACTCGTTGGCAGAAGCTATTTGCCAATCTGGTGAGATTGATTTCTGTGTTGGTCTCTACCATGATGTTTGTAGATTGGGGCTATGTCCTGATATTGAGACTTACAAGATCATGATCGCTGCAACTTCGAAAGTGGGCAGGATTGATGAGGCTTTTAGTATTCTTTATAGATCACTTGAGGACGGAAATAAACCATTCCCAAGTTTATATGCTCCAATTCTGAAGGGACTTTGTAGGAATGGATTGTTTGATGATGCATTTAGCTTTTTCAGTGATATGAAGGTGAAGGGTCATCCACCAAACCGGCCTGTTTATACCATGCTCTTAAAGATGTGTGCACGTGGAGGCCGATACATTGAAGCTGCTAATTATTTGATGGAGATGACGGAGTTCAAATTATCACCCATGTCACGGCACTTTGACATGGTAACCGATGGATTAAAGAATTGTGGAAAGCATGATATGGCTAAGAGGATAGAGCAGTTAGAAATATCTCTTCGCGGTATGTGAGATATAACAACAGTATTGTTATGATCTATATGATGTTCACTTGATGGTTGGTCGGTAAACCTTATTTTTAAGTTTTAACGCTTCCATTGTTAAATGTATACCCAATGACTGAAAATTTTGCTTTCCTTTACCTTACTGTTACTTGGTCAGTTATGAGCTTCTATTTTGCTGCCGTTAAACATGGTGTCTTGTGTTTCCACTCTTGATTATATCCACAAGCTGTCCACTACATATGCATTTTTTACTTTATGGTTTCACATCATGAACAGGTGCAGTTTGTTAATATTCAGAAGAGATAAGAGCTGCTTTTTCTTGTCATGTAAAAATGTATTTAGATTTGGTGATCACGAGGCTACTTAAAACCAAACCAAACCAAATGAACCAGAAACACGCGGAGGTAGGGTCTGGGGAGTCAGGATGTGCGGAGACATTGCCTCTACCCCAAAGGGTAGAGAGGCTACTTGTGAAGACCCTAGACTTGCAAAACAAAGATTAAAAGAAACAACCAAGTAAGTTAAATGTGATGTGTGCAAATAAGCAGATGAGGCTACTTATATGTGCCCAAGCTAGTTGAATGTAATTTGAAAAGCTAAGTTTGTAAAAGTAAATGTTTTGTTGGTGTTCTTGATCATACTGAAAATTTTCATTTGTATTACTCTTTCTGTTTTGAAAATACAAGAGATTCGTTTCAAAGTTTGATGCCAAACTTGTTACTTTACAAATTCGAAAATGACATGGATTTTGTTTCAATGCATCAAAACAACATTGTAATGGTAGATTTGGTGGTAAAGGTTGATTGAGGTAGTTATCAGTTCTATGAAATGGTATAAGGTATATATATATCAAGTTTTGAACTTAAAAGACAGCTTATTTGATCTCAACATTCTATCTGTAAAGAGAATGGAGTAGTAGCATCTTATATATCTTCTTCCTAACAACTAGCCGCACTATTTTATGTTGTTTTGTATGTATGCTTTTATTGTTTATATTGTTATAGCATTCTAGTAGATTACTTGATTCATCTTAAGTTATGAGCAATAATTTTTTTTTCTTTTTTTGCTAAAGGGGACAGAACCCCTAGTAAATTATTTATGAGCAATGATGCATGAAACATACGTGGTTCTTGCCACCCACAAATGAGGTATTGGGTTTGAATCCGGGCACCATCCACCTGCCTGTGTGTACCTCGATTTTCCTACCCCATGGGGGCGCTCCAGAAGGTGGAGCATACCATTTTTTTACTAAAATTCTTGATTATCCCTTGATTATCTATACCATCTTATAGAACATTTAGCCAAAAGTCTTAAAAATAACATTTCAAGCACGAAGTACCTCTTCCTAAGCACATTTCTTCAAAATCTCGTAGTTACAAGTCATATATGCATAATGTACAATGTTGTTTAAGTGCCATTCTGCTCTCGTATATCCTTGCTCCCAAGAAGATGCATCTGCTCTAATCAAGAAGACGATTGATGCTCTCTATGTGATTCCAGCTCCCAAGGTGGCGCTGCCCTAATACTCCAGGTTCCATCTCTCGCTATTTTTTCAAAATCCTGGTTCGATGGTTACCATCTATTTCCGTGTTCGATCTTCTCCATTTTGGCTGGATTGTACACAAAATCAGGTAAGAGTTTGCCTAATTTTTTCTGGATAAGTTTCATTTGGTTGCTGCAAAGAGAAATGAGAAGGGTGTATGCTTATATGTTTTTTGAGGTTTCATTTGGTTGCTGCAAAGAGAAATGAGAAGGGTGTATTGCATATATGTTTTTTTGAGATTTCATTTGGTTGCTGCAAGAGAAATGAAAAGGGTGTATGCATATATTTTTTTGTATATTTTGGTTTCTTTAGATAAATAGATTTCATGAGTAGATTGTTGATTTGGAAATATCTTTTTGATACTTGTTTTGAGTTCTTGGAATATTTGGTAGTCTTGGAATTGATTTTGCTAGCTTGTTGATGACTCTGATGAAGTTGAGAGGAATGAGCCAGAGCCTTCCAATTGTAATTATAATCTGGACAACTTGAAGAGGTACGTAATTTTAAGTTTGAATAATGAAATTTTCATCTTAAACGCTTATCATACCTTCTTATTGGTCAATTCTTCATCTTAAGTTCTTAACATATCCTTCAAGGTTTTGGATGTTTTCACTTCTAATTTCTTCAGCAAGATTTAGCAATGTAGCTGGAAATAGTCTCGTGGGTTGACACAGAAAAAGTTACACATGGCAAGGACCAGCCAAATTAGATTATGTTTTTACAATTCTGGGATTCCACTAATCTTGCAGGTTTTGCATGATTTCGGCATAAGAGCTTTTTAAATTGTATTTTCTGCCATAGTAGCTGAACAAACATAGTTAGGGGCTGTTCTGTACGTTTTCATTAAGCTCTGTATGAATTAAGTTGTCTGTATAGATTAGACTAAATTGTTGTTTGGTTGTTATGCAGAATAAAACGGTCTGAATGACATAAATGACTATTTTATCCCTATTGTTTTTCTCATTAAGCAACACAATGATGTTTTAATGCTTTCGTTGCGTTGTATTGTACAAGCAAGTAATGAGAAATTATCATTGTGATTTGGAACAATAAGATTCTCTGATTAATTGATGCAGCTATGTTTGGAAATCAATAGGTAGAAGATGGCATGGTTCAATTAACAGGAGCACACCCAGAAGCTTCTGCCTCAAAATAAAACCCAAAAGCTTCACCCTCAAAATCCCATGGCAAATAAAACCCTGAAACTTCAAAATAAATCTAAAATCAACTCCACAAACAAAAACCCAGAAAATAGAAGGGAAACGAAAGGGATGGGGATGAAGATGATGGAGATCAAGAAAAAAAATCGAATCAGACTGGAGATGAAGAAAAACGTGAACCAAAATCAAACAAGAAGAAAAACAGAGATGAAGAACCATAAAGAAGATGAACGAGAATTGAAGGGTTGATTTTGGGCATGAAGAACCAGAAAGAAGATGAAGAATCGAGAAACAACCGTTGTACGTTCTGGAAATTTTGGGAATCTGGAAGGTCTTGCCAAAGCAAGAAACAACCTTTGTATAATTTAAAAATTGGGGGGATGCTTAATGTTCTGAAAGATGGAGAATGGGAGATGCAGATGAAGATGAAAAGGGGAAAGGGTAAAAGGGGAATAAATGGGTTAACAAATGGCTGACTTCATAGGACTCTACTTTCTTGGCTTACCGAATAAACCATTATTTTACCCAACAAGTCACAAATGAACACCAATATATGGCTTACTGAATAATCCATACAGGCTGTTAAGCCCATTAAGCCGTTACTAAACACCCCTTACTCTTGTGTTGTTTCATCTAATAACAAGAAATTGTTAGGTGTTGATTTCTTATGTTGCAGCCTGCAGGGATATATCTACCAACTCTCTGTGTAAATATTCCCACATTAGTTGGAAATTGAGGATCCTTGTAAACTTGTAAGTATGTTTGATCCGTCTATTTTGTTGTGTTGGATTCCTTGTTCATCACCTGAATTCTAATTTGCTATTTGTTACATTCAATATTTTAGAAAGAGAACCCAAACCATTTTAGTGGAGCTACAAATATCATATGATGGTATATGTACCAATTTGGTTCCTCATAAAAAGCAACATACAAATATAAGGTGGGGGTTTTGGGCAATGGGTTGCTGGGAGTTATGTGCAAGGAACCTTACCATAGACTTTTGGACTTTAGTGTAGGTTGTTGTGACTTGTGGCAGGTAATTGTCATTTTTTCATACATGGAAAGAAGAATTTGCTATTTGTTTCATGAAATGTTTACAGGATATAGTGTTTTTAATGTTCCATATGTAGCTCCAATATGCAGGACTCTTTGAATGTATCAACTGCTGCAGTATATGAATTATTCCACCTGAGGCTCTTCTCGGACTGCATTCATATGGTCATAGAACGACTAAGGAGCACCTGAAAATTTGTAAGCACGTGTTCTTCTTTAGCCAGAAGCATAGCTTCATTTGAATGCCCGTATAATCCTCCAGAGCTTTGTTTTTATCTTTCTTTCATGCTTATAATCAAAGGCAATACAATCTATTAGGAGGATTTGAGAAGTTATCACTCTTTTGCTTATAATCAAAGGCAATTCAGTCTATTAGGAGAATTTCATAGCTTTGAAGATCTCTGTGAAGACAAAGCCTCAAATGGCATGTAGATATGCATTTCCCTTTAAAAATGGCTACTTAGAGTTGGATTTATTTTGATCTTTTTGGGACCATCAATTTGAATTAGTTTATTATGTCAAATTGCATGTGTTTCAAAGAAAATTTTAAATCTTATATCTTTATGTTCTTGGTCAAAATTCGAAAGTGAGATATTTTTGTCGGGATTTAACTTATTTGAAACTGCGGCTAATAGCCAATAAGCGAGTCATCAGTTTAGTTTTGACAGACAACACTTGTCAACTTCATTTAACATCTTTTTATTTGTGATGTATAGATGGACATTTCCTTTGGTCACTTCTATTTTGAGGTATGAAATGTTGCTGATCATATCTATTAGTTTTGTAAACGCTTGTGGTAGTAAACATGCCGCCTTTTTTGTGATAACCGGTTTTTTGGTTATAAAGTTCGAGGTTATTTTTAAAAGATGGTGGCAAGTTGATGGGTTAAATGTGTATGTGTGCCTAATTTCTCTTATTATTTTGATATTATAACGGGTTAACTTTATTATCTCATTGGGATGGGATTTAAAAAGAGCGAAAAAGGATAGTTGGTAACTTCCTGGGTATTTTTGAGTCGAAAAGTTCGAAACAGTTAAAGAAGGAAAGTAAGGAAGCCGATTTTGTGATTAATTGCTTGGATAATTGTTGTTGTTCATCATATTATCTTCATCTCATTGTGATAAGGTGAATTATTTACAAACTGTCCTTTTGATATTTGAAGTTAGAACCGTATGGTTCTTATATGGGGATGATTATAAAAGTGTCTTTAGATGCTATATTTGGCATAATTATAAGATTTTGATATTTTAACTATACTACCTTATAAACCAGATTTATCAAAAGTCTTAAAAACAGTTTTTAATGCACAAAGTCTTAAAAGTCTTAAAAACCACTCATTATGCAATAAGTACTACTACTTTATGTATTCAGTCTTATTTTCTCTTAATCTACAATTAAAATAACAAATAGTACAAGTTGTCAAT